GAGTTGAATTACTGAAATAAATGAACTTTTCCACGACATTCTAATTTATTGAGATGCACCTGTATTTCTTTGTGTCTCCAAAAATCACCAAGGCAATAAATAAAGATTGACAGTCAGTCTTCGTAGTGATGCTTCAGGGTGACAAGACACAACATGTAAACACAGAGAAACTCATACACACTGAGGCGAGTGCATAACTTCAAATGTTGTTTAATGGCTCAAGGTGTTTAATGTCACAGTCTTCAGCGGTGTGCCCAGGAGGGCCACCAGATGACTGTGTTCTGTGAGCACATGGCTTGTGTTGTGTTTGTCTGTTGCCATGTGCTCTCTCCTGTCTATTGTCTTGCCCCGCCCATCTTGTTACCTCATTATTGTTTAAGTTGCTCCACCTGTGTCTCCCTCGCTAGCCTCCTCATTTGGTTTCCTATTTATTCTCCTGGTGTCTGTAATCCTGTGCTGATCCATCGTTTTTCATTGTGTGTGTTATGTCTGCATGTAGTGCAGTAAACAGACAGGCAGGCTCAAAACTGCACTCCATGCAGACATATAACACACACAATGAGAAATGACTGATCAGCACAGGATGACAGACACCAGGAGAATAAATAGGAACCAAACGAGGAGGCTAACGAGGGAGACACAGGTGGAGCAACTTAAACAATAACGAGGTAACAAGATGGGAGGGGCAAGACAATAGACAGGAGAGAGCACATGGCAACAGACAACACAAGCCATGTGCTCACCGAACACAGTCATCTGGTGGCCCTCCTGGGCACACCCGCTGAAGACTGTGACATTTAATTATCTTTGGATGAACATTCACTGATACTGAGCCACAATTAAAAGCTTGGTAAAGTTAGTGCTGCTATCATTAGTAGATTTGATGCCAATTTTAAAGGGGACCTATTATGGCCCTTTTTACAAGATGTAATATAATTCTCAGGTGTCCTCAGAATGTGTCTGTGAAGTTTCAGCTCAAAATATCCCACAGATCATTTATTATACCATTTTGAAAATGCCCATTTTGAGTGGAAGCAAAAACCTGCTGGTTTCATGCATGTATCTTTAAATGCAAATGAGCTGCTGTTCCACACCTCTTTTCCAGAATAGGGCTGTGCCTTTACAGTTTGTGCCTCGGATACTTTGCCAAAACAAAACATCTGTTTGGTTTTGATTATCATGTCTATTGCACTGAAAACTTATTTGCATGTTTTTTAAAACAGTATCACAGGAGTATGAATAGAGTTTGTGCACAGAAAGCAGCTGTCTCACGACATGTGAGTACTCTTTCGTGTCTTAGTGTGCTTAAACTGTCAAATACACACAAGGATATGTCAAAAACACACATTAGTTACATAAACAGCTGGGAAAGAAATGACATGTTTATATTAGATCTGTGTATTAAGTGACACCGAAACAATAAAATAAAAACAGACTGCTCTTGACTGAATAACTTCTGTAGCTTTAATATGAAGACATTTCTTACTTGAATGCTGCTTTTAAATGCACTAGAGTGAAGATAAATATGGCGGATTGTGTGTGGCTCACTCAGGGCGGGGTCTCTGCAAATAGGGCAGTGTCCAGAGTCTTTCGTGGGTGGGACCTGTAAAATGTGACGTCACATTTTTCAGATTCTGCGAACGGCTTGTTCTGAGACACTGCTTTTGATTTATGGGGATAAAAAAAGAAGTTGGTGGATTTTTATCTTTATAGGACGGTTGTGTACACACACTGCCAACACGCATTTATTTTCAAGCACCATGCAAAAGTGAATTTTGCATAATAGGTCCCCTTTAAAGATCCAATCTAATCAAAATTACATTTTTTAGAAGACAAGACCGTTTTTATTTTATTTTATTTTATTATTAATATGATGTGAGTCATTATAAAAATAACTATTCCACTGCTTTGCTGGCAGACAAGACAGTGGATTTTATTTTATTTTATTTTAACGATGTCATTTTTATTTTATTTTATTATTCATATAATGTGAGTAATTTTTATTTGTTTGTTTGTACATGAAAACATCTTACCTCATTTTATCTTAACATCTTAGTGTGAAAGAATATTTCTTTTCAAAATACTCACTACTGTTCCCAAGTTTTCTGTGTTTGTCACATCAGCTATGCTATACTTCATCTTTAACTACTGATGCAGTCATTAATCTGCTCTCCAGTGATTTTTATTTCCTTGAAGGCTGGAAGGTTTTGGGTTCAGATGAAGTCTGCATTGTCATGCCCATGGTTGTCACAAAACTAGGAGGGTGCTACTCAAATCTGCATCGCTCCCGTGGAGACACATTGCCACAGGCCGTTTGTCAATACTGCTAAAGTCAACATGTCGCTCAAGACGTTTTTCACCAACAGTCCCGTCGGTCAACACTCCACACCAAAATAGACACACTCTCATCTGCAGCGCAAAAGGCTTATGAATGAGCACGCGCAACTGCCCCGGTGTCACACAGAATGCACACGCCTCAAGCTAACATCCCAGTTTTGGAAACACTGGAAATCCTGTTGGCTATGGCTGGCAGAGTGATGGCAGAACAAAGAGCGAGGTGCAAGGAGATTTCTCTTTTAATGTGCCTCACCGAATCTGAAAGCTCATTTCACTGGGGTCTGTAATTTCAAGAGGTTTCTGCTGAAACTGTCAGTTTTGGGGGTGTGTGTCACCTTGGGTGCACTGGAGAGAAATTCTCATCCTTCATAACATGCTGAAAAAAAAGAAATATTGAGAATCGTTCATCATTTTTCATATAGAGCGAAATTTCAGACTGTCCACGCTGATGTTTAAAATCTCTCTCTCTCTCTCTGTCTCTGTCTCTGTCTCTGTCTGTCTCTCTCTCTCTCTCTCTCTCTCTCTCTCTCTCTCTCTCTCTCTCTCTCTCTCTCTCTCTCTGAATTGCAGTGCTGTTCAACTTGATTCCTGTGGGTCTGAGAATAGTCGCCATCCAAAGCACCAAGACAGGACTCTACATAGGCATGAATAGCGAGGGCTTCCTCTACACATCAGTAAGTCATACTCATCAATACAAACCTTTCCAGACTTGTCGTATCATACCATGTTAAAAATGTCAGCGACATACAGTTGAAGCCAAATGTCTAAGACCACTAGTGAAAAAGCTTTTAGTTTTTCTAAATTAATACGATTTAATTGAAACCTATTAAATAAAAAAAAAAATGGTTAGGATGTCTTAGTATTTGGTTTGTCTTCTTTTTAATGACGTAGAATTAAATGAACAGCAGTATTACATTTTCTCAAATGTATTTTTTATTTATTATAAACTATCAATCAAAAGTTTGGAATAATTCCTGATTTTTTTATGTTATTTAAAGTCTCTTATGCTTACCAAGGCTGCATTAATTTGATCAAAAATGCAGTACAAAAATATTATTATTATTGCAAAATTCTATTTGAAAATATTTTAAAATGTAATTTATTCCATAGTTTCAGTTTCATGTTTTCAGCAGCCATTACTTCAGTCTTCAGTGTCACATAATCCTTCAGAAATCATTCTAATATGCTGATTTGTTGCTCAAAAAACATTTCTTATTTTTTCCAAAAAAAGAAGAAAAAATGTATACTTTTATTCAGCAAGGATGCATTATACTGATCAATAGTGACAGTAAAGACACGAAAGGTTTCTATTTCAACAAAATACTGATAAGCATATTCAAAATTTGAAGGATCATGTGACACTGAGGACTGGAGTAATGGCTGCTGAAAATTCAGTTTTACCATCTCGGGAATAAATTACATTTTAAAATATATTAAAATAGACTACAGTTATTTTAAATTGTAATAATATTTCACACTATTACTGTTTATACTCTATTTATGATTAAATAAATGCAGCCTTGGTAGGCATAAAAACAATTAAAAAAAATGTATTCCACTTTTCCCTGGTAGTGTATATAAAAATAAGTATTATTTTATTTGAATAGTGACCTGAAAATAGCCTTAAATATTAGATGAGTAACTATTTCTTATTCATTTTATTTTATAATGTCCCTTTACATAAAAGTTTTCAAAATCCTGAAACTTGATTTTGATTTTGAATCTCAGATTTTAATGAGGTCAAGAGATTGAGACTCCACTGTATTATATACTCGTGGAAACCTTACAGATTATTTAATGTTCTTTGTATCAGGTGCTACTAATGAAGTTAACTGTTGTGCGTTTGTCCTCAGACAGTGAGTGTGAGTACTGTTGGTTCTCTGTGACACACTCCATTAGTCTGGCCTATTTCTCTCTATCAGTTAAACTTTTGTAAGACATTCTTCTGCTAAGAGATGCATTGCTTTGCCATGTAGAGGCACCTTTCTTCTCTCTTCTCTCTCTATCCTCTGATCCATTCTCTCTTATTTGTAGTAGAAAAGAGTATTCCTTTCATCTTTAAAGTAGATCATAACACTCTTTAAAGTAAGGTGATGAGTCTAAGAGAGGTGTATAGGCCTACATGATGTACTGTGCCCCCATAACGTGCTCTTCAAATTAATGAATTATTACATTGCATGGACAGCAGAATATCAAACCAAATGCTATCTGTGCACAAATACCGTATAGTGTTAGATTTCAAAAAGATCTTCACTTTTCTTAGCCATTACTTCTAAACTATTGGACTCAAAGTTATTTTTTTTCATGATCCACTAAGTCTGGCAACCAGAAAGTGTTGAAATATTTTTCTTGCTTAAATTATGAACTGTGTATCTATTTTGTACTTTAAATCCAACATTATTTTTGTCAAATATTTTGAATTAAAAGTATGCTTGTGCTTTCTTTAAAATAAACACCACTTCATTTGATACTTTTTTTGTTTTGTGTAATGCAGTTTCTTTTTTCACATTCATGCGAAAGTGTCATCATTTAAGTGCACCGCAAGTGTTCAGATATTGTTTCTGCACAAGTATCTGCAGAACCCTGTGTAAATTTGAGTTTATATGTATAGTTAATAGTTTTTTTTCTAGGCCCGGATGCATAATTTAAAATGTTAAATATGAATAGAATAAAATAAATACAAATCTAAATAATAAAAGCTATGGTAACCTAAACGATTAGTGAGATAAACAAAACAAAAAAGTATTTATATCAGTTATTACACAAATTACAAATGTCACTAAGTTGTAAACTCAATAAGTGACTCATTTCTAATATATCCCTGTCATGTATCCTTCTCTCACACACAGGTGCACAAATACAATTTTTGTCTCTCTGTTTCTCTACTCTTGCAAGGAGAGCATCTGTAGAGAATGTGTTCTCCTCATGGGAAGAAAGTCGACCCATTTTCCACAGAGGGAAATGACCATGCCTGAAAAAAGAGAGAAAATCCCTATTCTAGAAAACCTCATGCAAAGCGACCTCTTTTTCTTTTCTCTTTTCTCTGCCTTCGTCTGAAGAGCTAAAACCGCTCTACCTGTGTCCTAACTTTCATTCTTAACTTTCATCTTTTTTTAGCATGATATTTTAAACCAAAGAGACTAGTTTGAAGCCAGTGAAGCATGCCACAAAAATTAGTGCAAACACAAAACAGGAGACCGCTTGCTCCTGAGCTTTAAAATATTCTGAAACAATAGAACCAAAACACATATTGTTGACTTTTGAAATGTTATGTGAGGAATGACTCATTCCTTGCTGTATACTGTGCCATGAGAAGAATACACAAAGCTAAACAAGTTATTTTCCCTGGATTGAATCAAGATGCATCTGAAATTGCATACTATCAGAGTGGGCGCTTCATTTGATGTGGAACAAACTTCCTGACTGTTAAAAAAGTATGTTCTATATATTAAATGAATGTGTGTAGTATGAATGAAATCAATACTACATCCACCATGTTGGCTTTGTCATGTGACCTTTCACAACTCCTCTCCTGTGGCCACATGGGTGTCCATCTCATGCACACTTCGGAATCTCGGTGGAAGTAGTAGTTTATGTGTGGACTTTTTGCCTATTGTTTTACGAAGACTACAAATTCTACTTGTTTCATGTACTTTTTTAACCTACTATATAGTAGGGAAGTAAACATATTTGGAGACATGGTTAGTCTTTAAAATCACTTCAAGAATTCCGATTTGGTGACAAATCTCCAACATTTTAACTTTAAGACTATACCCACATTACCCACAGTACTACACAGTCAATGCAAACTATAATTACCAACAAGTAATATTTTGTACCTAGTTAAAATCTGCTGGCTGTTCATTTGAGGATTCTGTTTTTAAAAATTAAATGTGCTAGTGATTGTTTAAAAGGCTAGTTCACCTAATAAAGAAAATTCTGTCCTTATTTACTCCTGTTGTTCCAAATCTATATGACTTTATGGGGGGGGGGGGGGG